AAAAATATGTACTTTCCATTACACACAAAAGTAGCTTTTAAATTTAAAGTTATGTACATACATACATAGTATGTATGTTCAAAAAACTAAAATTTACAGATTTGAATTTTCACTAAATAAAAATTTTCTATTTATAAAGCGCCTCAAAACGATTCTAATACTAAAAAATTCTTTGTGTAGGAGTTTGGGTAATGGAGGATGGTTCCGTGCGCCGAAGTCGACATAAGTTCGGAAAGCTCTGGGTAGCGACTAAACACCCGTTTGGGAGCGGTCTAAAGTGAGAAGGCTAGAAACCTCGTGCGCGCTGGGCTTGGGTCCCACCACTTTAAAGCCCTTCTTAAGGAAAACCACGATTTTGGTATTAATATTTCTCGCTGCTGAATTTGGAAATTTTATAAATTGGCTTCTTTATTGATTACGCAAACATTTTTGTCATAGAAGCAATTTGCTAGATGAGAAAAAAACAAAGCCTAAAAATATACAGCATTTCATTCAACAACATGCATATTTGTTTTTTTTTTTTTAGGAGTCGAAGTGACCTATCGCGCAGTCACTTTGACGTCGGTTCATTGCAGTTACCTCAGTAGGGGAGGGCACTCCCCTAGCTCAACTTGTCGGAAAGTCGCTTTTGAGATCAGTATCCATGAGGATTGGTCCGCCGTAGCATACATGTACTATACCTTTCGAATGCTGGACATTCAACTGCGTTCCATAGCCTTGCGGACTTCGAGTACCATTTCACATCAAAGCTGAATCTCTTATACCGATTTTCCTAGCGTGCTTGTTAAAGGGAATCCCGCCCTAATATCCTAATGACAGCAATAACTACTAAACACTCACAATATGGGGCGTCAGAGTATATTTTAAAGTACCGGCAGGTGTCGAAACTATGGCACGATTACTGTGTTTGCGGTCCGTTTCCCCACTCAGACGAGCATACCTCAAAAGCTGATTGGCTATCCGAACGACTTAATACCTAACCTCCAATTGTCCTCTTTGAAAGACGGTAATGTTTTCACCAAGAGGGAACGAGGGTTAAATATATTCCATTTCGGGAAAGAGATGGAGTCCATTCGAGTGTAGTGTAGACAAAGATAGCATAAGATGCGACCCGGTCCCACCTAACAAAGTGCACTCTCGTCTGATCAGGAATGACATACCGAAACAGCCTCAATAATCTTAGCTTTTCAGCGAAACGAAGTGCCACAGCCCTTCCAGTCACTTCTCCAACGCGGTAGCCCTTAACGCCCAATATAGGAAATACGTCCTGACAACGTCAGTATTTATCAAATCAATTGAGGAATGAACCCCAAGACCTCTCCAATACTAGTACCTAATTCGGACTGCATCCGATAGCAGAGCACTTGTTGATTACTACCACCAATGACAATGCAAAGACCATCAGTACACGAAATCGTCGGAATACCTGATTCGTTAAGCTTCCCTAAGGAAGGGTAATCGAGAAGATTACAAGCCGCGCAAACCCTTTAACTAGCCTCACAGAGACAGCACTACTCCAAAGGCTAGCAACATTAGTCCTAGCTCCAAGCATTGCGAGAATGCACTCAACCTGTATGGCGTAGGTACTTCGAAGCCGAAATGCCTGGCCAACTCTGCCATTACTAGAACTGTCGAAAAGTCCTAGAAATTCATAAAGCCAGCAACGGCATGTTTATTTCTGTCTATGATACTCTGTATTCAGCCATTCATTTCACCCAGAGCAGACTGGCTAGACGATTCTTTTTGGCTAAGGTTTGGAATAGGCCGGTAGAGGGGTTGTCCACAATTCAGCCAGTCCTTAGCAGACAATTTTTTTTTGCAGGCGTTGGGCGCCACATTAAAACTAAACATAATATAAACACGGAGAATAGCTTTAGTAAATCAAAAAAAAAAAAAAGATGAAAAAGGTGTTTTTTTAATTTACAAATTTGAGACGTACGGTACGAGAAAATGGGCCGTATGAATAAAAATTGATTTTCTTTTTTTTTTATTGGTTAGGTAAACACAGATTGTTTTGAGGATAGAGTTTAGAGAGAGTTTTAGTGCTTTCCTACAAAAAAAAAAATATATATATATATTATTAACCGAAACGTACTTTTATCAAAACTTAAAATTTTTAACCAGCCACCCTTACGTTGAAATCTATAAACACAACTACATTACCTCTTCAAACTTCTTTGTGATGAGCGTGAAAGCCGAGAAGATCGCGCTGGTCGTACCAGATACAGTGACAATGCGCTCCGGGCATGAACCGTCCGAGATGTTGATTTTTGCGCCAGACTGTAAGGAGATTTTGAGCATAGAAAAATTAGATTTTGAGCGGAAAACAATTTAATTTTTTCAAATACCTCCTCACGAAATCTGTTCACAATCTCGCCTTTTTTGCCAATAATGCTGCCGACTTCCTGCAATGAAAATAAAACAAGATACAACAATTAATAAATAAAAATACAAAATGCTGAAAATTTGTTGGAATATGAAAAGTGGTCAGATAAAATCGATTACAATCGCATGATAAAAAAAAAAAATGTAGATAATTGACTTGTTTGCAAATTGTTTTGATTCTAACAAACAAAACAAAAAGATTAAATTTGTGTGCCAAAAGCGACAGCCATTTATTGTTTTTGAATTTTGTGGTCTACATGCACATTTAGTTGTATTTCAAAAGCGCAGGTGATACACATACAACTGTGTGCATTTATTTGTATGCGAGTCTAAACTTAAGCCGCAGGCAAATAGAAATCAACAAATTACTTTGATTGTACATATGTATGTATATCCTGGCACTATGTCACAACTATATACATATCGATGATATGTATATAAATATATTGTTGTCAACCGACAAAACATATGTGTTAACCATATGAATAATACACGTCGACATATTTTGATACGATTTACATATCTACGTGCGATAGTAGTTGCATTGGAATGCACTTTCGAAGTTTAGTTTAAAAAGTTTTCGCCTTTAAACATTGCAAGCATGCAATGGCTTAACCACAGCTATGCCTCACAAGTGAATTTCCTGATGTATCCTGAAATGCATATACTTACAATGATATATATACAAATGAATACGTAAAGCTGCACAGTAATGCAGTTTACGCACATGTACATACATATGTATGCATGACTTTTATGAAGATTCACCAATTACGCTGAAGGAACGCTAAAATGACAAAAACTAAAAACACCGAGACACTTACTTTATTTTGGGTTGCGGATCACGGATCTGCATATCGTTTTTCTATAACAAGTCATTTTCACAAGATATTTTCATTGTAAGGGCTTGTGCCAATCAGCAGAAAAATTCTATTGTGAAACAACTTTTTACTATGGTGAGAAAATTTTACATTTCTGCTGTGGCAATTAGTAACTTTTTATTGCTCGAAATTTTTGACATTTACCCTGTTACAAAAGAAGTTGACAAATTAAAATGCAGCAATTAAATAAAAAAAATATTTGTCTTTACAGACTTTAATTCTTCTAGGACTGCATTTATTATACGCCTTAGCAATAACATAAGGCCAAAAAACAGTCCATTCAACTCATAGTTGTCAAAAATTTACAATCCAGAGTTTGCATAATGAATAAAAAACAGAAATCAAACTTTAACGCCATGTATGAGTATGTACGAGTGCGGCCATGTGCGATGCGGCGTATGAGTAACATTTTTTCCTGCTCATATTTCAACAAAAAAAGCTTTAAGCACTTTCTTTTAACAATTTACAAATTTAATCTACGACCCAAAATTAAGTTTACGTGTTTCGGCGTCTTTTTGTGCCATATAAAAACTTGAGATTTTCCCTACAGTGTTACCAGCAAAATAATAACAAAAGTTTGTCTAATTTGGTTTTTTAACCAGACAATTTTTCAATTGAATAGTGACAGTGGTAATGCTTTTCACTTCCTATTTCAAGGCTTTTTAAAGTTTTGCAAAAAATAACCTCCAAACAACTGCGAATTAGGCAAAATTCGGTTGTAAATATTTGCCTAGGTGGCAACTATGTTTAAAAATATTTTTAAATATAAGTATTTCCGATTCCCTTCATTTCATAATTTAACGGCCGGTTTCAACAGCACTCTAAGTAAAAATTATTATTTTTTTCTGTCTAATATCTTTTTACTTTTTTTTGTTTTTAGTTGGCAACCCTTTTCCAAAGACACTTCTTAAAACGCCCCTAAAATGAGACGTTTTGTACTTGTAGTTAGCTACAAAAAGCTTACTTGAAACTAGTTGACAAATAATGCAGGAGTATGTTTTCTTTAAACGCGTTTATATTTAAATATCCTGCACTTCGCAAATACTTTTTCGAATTCAGGACAAATAAAAGGAAGATTGAAATTTCATATTATCATTTTGAAGTTATGTCTGACGGAGTTCGAATATGGGACCACCTACAGCAGAATATGTAAACAAATATGAAATGTAATAAAATAACTAAATAAAGTAAATACAAAAAAAAAAATAAAAAAATAAATAAAGTAAATAAAAAAATATTTTGTTTTCCTATTGATATTTTATGTCCAAATGTAGTTAGTTACCCCTTGACTATTTCGCGGTCATCGCCATAGAAATATAGTTAGCTTTCGTCAAAGAAAATATACAGATAATAGCGACTTTTAGCTCCTTCCTGATCAACTTAAGGTTAGCTTATAGTTAGATACATTTCCTGCAGGGTATCTATATATATAATACGCGAAGGCATTTTTTGTTCAGGATAAAAGATAATTGACCTACCGCTTTTTGGTGTTCACGCAAAGTCAGCTGTTCTATTAGCGAAACACAGCCAGCTGCTCGATTAGCTACAGTGATGGAAAACTTGGTACAATCGTTTACAGTTTCAAAGTACATTCGATACAAACACTGTAGTTGATTACGCCAGGTAGAGAGAGTTTATTTCTTTTTTAAACGTCAATCGTAGATTCACCTTCATTTTATAGCCAAATTTGTTAGCTGGGAGTCCAGAAGTTCAGATAGTATCGAAGCGAAAGATTATCCTATTATTTTCTTTAATATCGACGGTACTTTGGCAAAACCTCGTATCTCAGAAATCACCTACTACTTCGTATATAGTAAAAAATAATTTAAGTTAGGCCTTAAAATGAGATACGCGGTTTTGCCAAAGTACTGTCAATATACAGCCAGCGTCAAAAATATGAATACCCTGACGTTTCTTTATTTATATTTTCCATACCAAATTTCAACAGCAAAAACCAAGAAATACCAAAAAATTTCATCTAAATTTTCAGCTTTTCAATTCTATTTCCTAGAAAAATTTGGGTATTCAGTTTTGTATTCCATTAAGTTTTAGTATAATTTTGACGCTGACTGTATGTAAATGTAAATACAAAAATACACATTTACGTTTTAGGTACATTTATCTGCTTTTAGGTAAAGTTTTTCCGCAGATTGGGTACAATTTGAAAATTCAATTTTCCATCCCTGATGGATAGTAGCTGCAAAAAAAAAGAGGACCAGAAACAAACAGCAGCGTTGCACGAAAAAGTTCATTCAATTAGCACTCAATTAAGCTCTAATCGAGCAATTAAGAAATGAATTTTGAATGGTAAGCCGAGCTCAATTAGCGCCTTAATACTTTTACTTGCAAAGAGCCCTGAAACCCGTGCAAATATTTTTTTCTTCCAAACGAAGTGGAGTTCTCGTTTATAATATTTTCACCGAGTTAACGAATTGATCTTTAAGAGGACCATTCCCTTGGGAAACGTGTAATCCCTTCTCGTTTTGTTAAGTCGAAATATGTAGGTAATTTAATCAACAGCATATGTGCAAAACTCTAACCTTTTTTAGAGAACATAAGGGTCCTTAAGATTTTAGTTTGTAATTTCTTTATTTTTTAGATTATGACCTAAGTTTCCTCAACAGTTAATCCCCGAAATTCACTGAGAAGTAAAGTTTCAAACTCGTCAATCGTGCCTCACTTGAGTTCAACTTAATCTCATTAAACACACTCTTTAAGTGTTGCAAATCTAATCACTTTCACACTTGTTTGCATTTCCGGGAACATCATTAAAGAGTTTGCGAATTACATAGAAACTCTGCTGACTAGTTCATTGTCTTCCTCCTTGCAGGGTTTAGAACGCCTGCCATAACTTTTTACTATTTGCATACACTTGAGTATAATCAAATTCCATTGTGTTGGTTAGCAGTTGTCGGAGCAAATATTTTGACTAGAATTTCGTTGAAAATTTTAAACAAAACTTACATGCATAACAGGCGACACAAAAATTTAGTTTGCACAAGTTTTTATTTTTCATTTTGCTTCTCAGTTACGCTTTCTAGTTAGGAAAACAGTAAAAACAACTACAATGAAATATACTATACACACATATATAAACCACAGATTCTACAAGTTGCATAATACCCTGGATATTGTGCGTTACTAGCTGGAGGCGGAACTTGTAGATTTCTGGTTTTTTCGTTTTGTAAAACATACATAAATAGAGCCCTGAAACTGTATCCGTATCTAAGTATGTAAGTAAAAATTCTGATAAAAAGATCACACTTGTAGAGATGCGTGCAATGACTCCATGACTACATGCCTGTTATAATGTGAAAATTTGGAGCTGATTGTGGGGTAATATTGCATGATTCTTTAATGACTAATACGGGCAATCCCCAAACGATCACAAATCATACGTCAGACAGTGTATTTCAGGTCAGATTTTTTTTTTTGTAGTGACTTGTGACAAGTCAATTGTCGCACAAGTGCAAATTTAAGAGCCACATTTAGTATAAATAATTTTATTCGCCGTTTGAGAAGTGCACATGTGGGCTTAAGTGAAGAACGAACAAGCAATTGAGGGCGCTAAAAGTAGACAATTCTCTGGTGGAGTATAGAACGCAAATAATTATAGAGTATGGTGGAGGTAAGCACAGAAGAGGCGCATTCCTAGAGACACACACCAATGTGGCTCGCCACTTCTGAGCAATTCAACTGCGCACTCCTTCTTGCAAAAGTTGGAATGGCTGTACGCCAAATTTGTCACCTATGCGGACTATATCACTACAAAGTGCCGAGGCAAGTTCTCACAGACGCTGTTCGACTTGACAGAAACCACTTTGGGAAATATTCTGGTGATCCACGACCTGTAATAAGTATTTAGGTTCATTCGGCAAAAGTGGGACTGGTGCTCTTTAAAAAAAAGGTTCAAAAAGGTTCGGTAACTTCAGGACTAAAAATGATCCGCTTAAGTCTCAAGAATAAAGCTAAAGCTAAGTTTTTGTGCCTAAATCTCGATAAAAAGTTGATCTCAGGAAATAGAACGTTGCTTGGCGTTGCGGGAAGGCTTTTACAGCTCTGTACTCGCGTAAGGGAACCAATAAATATGACGCATAAAGTCAAGCATCTAACGCTTGGAGGCTGCACTAAATAAACTA